GGGGGGGAGCCGCAAATGTATTGCGCGATCCGGGAGACGGTGACGCCAGTGGCCCCATATGATTTCCATCCTGTAAAATAATTTTTATTAAAATATATAGAAGAATATTTTTCAATTTTCATTTTATCTGCAAATATTTAAAATTTTACCTGTGACGTGGAAACTTGTAATTGTGTTGTTAATCCTGTAGTATTGTCAGTATTTATTTGTGTTGTATTGTCTTCGCTTATTTGTCTATGAACTCTGGCAATAGCTATTAAGAAAATATTCGAAAGTTAAAAGAAACAGTTACAAAATGTTATACCGTGCATTTCTTAATTGAATATTACGGACCATGTACACGTTGTTCGTGAATAACTTGTTGCTGTATCTGCGCTTGCTGTTGACGCAATGCTTGTAATTGTTTCCACTGACGTTCCTGTTCTGCTTCTCTACTCGAACGATCTCTATTGGAAAGTCTCTCTTGCTCCTGTTAAAAAGAATTTTATTAGATATAAAAATATTAATTACACCAGAAGATCATTATATCCTTGCAGTCATTGTTACTAAAAAATAATATGAATTATTTAGTATCAATAACATACTATTACTTCAAAAGTGTTGGATTATTCGATTAATAAATTAATTAAAGAATATAATGATCCATTTTTCTTTGAAGCAATATAAAATATACAATAAGGCAAGTTGACAATCAGCCAAAGTGTACTTTAAGTTTAACATTCAAGTAAAAAAATGGCATATTACTAAATTAATATAATTAGCAAAATCTTAATATTTCTGTATGTGCAACACAGTTGTAATAACCAGCCACCATCTAGAATAAATATTATGTAATCAAAAGTTCGTATAAAAAAATTTCTTTTTACCACACAGAACACCCATAAACATTCAGCTCAGATTAATTTATAGTCATTTTCATGCATCACTGAATACAGAAAAGTACGTTTTGTACTATTAAAGGTACAAGATTACTGTTTCTGTTATGTATCAAACAAAAGGAAAAAAAAAAAAAAAAAAACTTATTCGGTTATGTTTATAACGAAAATTGTGTACAATTGAAAACACAATTAATTATACTTTCAAGTATACTGTTAGCAGCTAAAAATTTTGACTGTGTTATTAAAATTAATTAATAATAACAGTTAACCATAAAATTATAACATTATATAAATAATAAGTACAACAACTTGTACTATTAAAAGTATAAGCATCTGAAAATGTAAGAAGCAACAAAAGTTAGTAAAACTAACTATAATATTGTTGTATATGAGGTTTAACATACTACATTGCAACAAATATCTACCAATAATTTATAACACAATTCATAAAAAGCAGTATACTTATGTGGGCAGATAGGAAGGAAAATAGATTTGTTTAAAATATCTCTGGAACAATAAGGAACAGGAATAAAGAAAAAAAAAATGTGCTACCAGTTGTCTTCAACATGCCATATACAATGTAATGAGCTATGCAAAATAAAGAATTCACAGTACTACAGTCTAACATAATAAATTTATATCAAATTTAAATGTATAATGAAAAGTGTCTGATCATTCAAAGTAAATAATATGAAATAAATATAATACATCTTAACAGATGCATAGGCAACATGAGTTGTTTCATTACATAAGACCAATGCTCTGAAACACTACGCATTATATCGACAACTCATTAATGACGAAATCTATCCTATACATCAAGTGTTTCAGATCTTTGGTATGAATAAATAAAATGTCGAAAAGAAAGAAAAGAATTGTTGCAAAACAGAACGATAATTCTAACGTCTCTGTTCTAAAAACGGATAAGGGACACTAAATGTCGATCAGACACGTGGCACAAGGCAAGACACTAGAGGCACAGAATAGGTGGCTCACCATAGCCGGGGACTGTACAGGTACAGTGTGAATAATTGCAGTGGGTGGCGGATCGTAGTGCTCCTGGCTGAGGGAAGGAAGGGTGCGCATGATTTCAGATGGGGTGAGCACTCTAATCTGGTGGTCTACCGAGGATAATTGGCGAACAGGACCTACCCCCACCATAACGTTGGTAGTGGGGGATGCCTGAGAAATGCTCAGACTGTTAGCGATAGTACTGGTACTGATCGTAATGTGAGCAGGTGTAGGACGTTGCTGGGATGGTGACGTTTGATGCTGCCCTTCACCGGCGCCCGTGTTGCAGTAAGAAGAAGCGGTTGCTGATGTGCAAGGCGTGGCTGGCGACTGAGCTACTCTAGCCTGGCTACCGGATATCTCTTGGTGCGCCAGGCTGTTAATGGAATTAATAGAATTCACAGAACTGGGTCGAGGTGAAGAAGAAGGGGTCGTGGATGTTGGAGAAGGACTCGGGGAAGTAGATGTTAGCTGCTTCGGCGGTCCCTGCACCGCACACACCTCCGCAAGATGATTACTGCTAGCTGTTGACACTGTCACTCCTGTTGTCGACACAGTCATTCCATTCTTTTCCTGTGTCTTTTCACTGCCCACTGAGGTCAAAAGTCCGATCTGCCTTTGGTTGGAGGCCATAGCTACTACTGGAGAAACTTGAGCTGATGTCATAGTTGTGACAGGTTTGGTGATGATGGTAGGTGCACTTGTTGCAGTGACTGGGGTCGTGCTTGGTATATCCTTGGATATCTGTCGGTTCAAGGGGTGCCTCGTTCACACACTTACGTTATAGTATTCATGGTTTACATATTTCCAAAATACATCATACAAAGGTAAAAGTGTAAAATTCAATTCTTCGGAGGATTCTAAGGAACTTGAAGGAACGCTATCTGGGGAAAGCTAGACTTAAATCGATATTCCTAAAGTATCAAATTAGCATCTACGTTTCTAATGAAACATGATCTCATTGGAGATATGAATATTGTTAGAAAAATGACGATTTGAATTTGTAACGTATGTAAGAAATATGTTTTCAACGTGTGTGTAATTAGGTAATGTAATAACATTCACGATGGTGATTAACAGAAGGGTAAAGCAATCGCATGTTATGTCCAATATGAAACAGCAAGTATGCTTCAATGTAGCATATAAATTAAGAGAATGTATTATGAGTTGATGCAACTGTTTATGAATTTTTTATACTGTGGTTGTTGTGTGTTCACGTTTATGCATTATCACGTATTTCCTTTAAATAGATTAAGTAAATGAAACCTTAACAATTTTAAGTATAGGTATTGGACACAAAGGACAAGCTGTTAGTTTGACCTGTGTGTTAGCACAAGACATCTTTGAAGATGAAAATGGATACATATCACATAAAGATTCACGCTTCTCTAGCACCTGTATAATTATCATAAGAGTTCTAGGAACTGTTCCCACCTGTTGAGTCTTTTTCATACGAATTGCAGCTCTATTATCCCGAGCCAGTGTTAGGAACGGAGCTTTTTTATCATTGGGTAGTGCACGCCATTTCTTCAGTATTTGTTTACACCTTTCTGACCAGGCTGGAATAACACAGTTAAATACGATTAGTTTAATTACTTATGTCGAAGTTACTTTCGAAATAAAAATAGCTGCATTCGTTCATAACAGTAACGATAAAATAAATATATACCTGGATATTCTGTTTTCCATTCTGGGTGATTAATATTTGCATAAAGTACAGAAGATATAGTTGCTCCTGGACCTAAAGCTTCATCGGCTTCCATTTTAAGATTACTTCTTTGGTTGTATGAGATTGTAGCATTGCCTGGTGCTGAAGTACCCTCATCCTCAGGATTGACCCATGGACTTGCTGGTTCAGAGAATGCTGGACTGAATTGTGGACTACTGTGTAGAGAAAAATTGAAGCAAATTAGTTAAAAAAATTCTTATTAAAAGTAGTTTTCAATTTATATTATGTTTCAATGTAAACGTACTTGCTGTACTCCGAGTGGTATGGAGACGGCGGTGGAAAACTCATTGGAGAATTTAAGTTAGACTGACCAACAGAAGGCAGTGTACCAGGTACTTGAGGTCTTGGTATAGGTATTGCTGTTTGTATACCTATAATTACATGTATTGTAATAAAAAATAGTAAAAACTTCGTGTCATACTTCTCATTGAAAATAATCATTTAACCGAGAAATCGTGTATTTACCAGGATGCGGTGAAGGAGACACAAGTGGTGTTGTAGAAGAAGCAGGATGTGGGGGTTGAGTTTGAACAGAAAAGACTGATGATTCTTGAGACTCTTGAGATTCATCAGTTAAAACTCCTTTAAATATTTCTTCAATATCTTTACTATCCATATTGGGTAAACCTTTTAAAAACATAATTAGTAATAATAGTAATAGTGAATTCATGTTATAATTATTAGAAAGAATAAAAAAAGAGATGATAATAATTCACCTGTATCTCTGACCATCGATTCTAAATTGAAATGTGGACTAAGAATGTCCGTCAGTTCATCTTTAGTCGTTCCTGGTGTATCATCTAATTCATCCAACGCTTCACTAGCTTTAGCCAAGTCTTCGTCCGGTTCATTCATTATGGTATTAACAAGGTCGCTATCCAGTAAGTCACCCGAAATAGGTAAGATATCACCAAGAGCTTCTGTATCGCTACCTTCGTCATCCATAATTTCTTCTCGCTTTATGGGTGGTTCTGGAGGTACTTTATCTTCTTCTTTCTCTTGTTTAGCTTTAACTTGCTCCATAGCCTTCAGTTCATCTTGAGATAGCTGAATAGTATCTGCATTTCCAGATATATTTCGTTCGCTATCCGATTCACTGCTACTTTCCAGTTCCTTGTCTTTGGTCGTATCCATAAGATCTTTGCCAAAGAATGCCTCTTGCATGTAGAGAGGAAAACATTCAGAAAGTTTTGTCTTTGGTTTTCTTCTCTGTGGTTTCCGGCGTGGCTTGTCATCATTTACACCAACCGTTGAATCTGATGGTTTTTCCGGATCTCCGTCTTCCTCTTTATCTTTGCGAGTGCCTCTTAGTCTGACAATAAAACCTCCGATGCCTAACTTTTGCAAGTTACGCTGACGTTTACGTCTTAAAATTGGTATGCCATTTTCAGTTGTATAAATACTAAAACCTTCAGGTGGTGGTTGATCAGCACGTGGTGTCCATACCATGCCTTCTTTGAGTACCTCCGTAGGTTCGTCTTTAACATCGGCTAAATCTATTTTTCCTCCATTTTCTTCTAAAGAATTATCTAAACTGCCACCGGCAACTACAGATTCTATAGTAGCCATTATGTCAGCTTCTTTGTCAATTAAAGGATGCATTTTTCTTCTTTTCTTTCTTGTTTGTTGATGTTCCGATGTCAATGACTTTATGTGATTCATACCAGCTTCGGATAAATAAACACCATCAATCAAGTATTGTTGAGGGGAAGGTTTGTACAGTTCAGGACTGCGTGATGTTGGTGGCGGGGAACGGGGATATTTATTTGGTTGTGGTTTAGGTTGACTACATAAAAGATGCGGAGGTGGGATATCTCTCGGACGACAAAGTATACAAATATAACCTTCTTCCGCACATTTTTCAGCTTCTGCTTCACTTTTAATTGAGTCACACGCGCAATGCAACCACCTTTCACACTGAATGCATTGTATTATTAGGTCCCCTTCACTGTATGTTTCTTGACAAGATATGCAGGCAGTGTGAGATGCGCAGGGGCCACACTGTGTATAATTTTTTTGCCAGCTACTATTAAATCCTGGATCGTTTGAACCGCATGTTTGGCAGTGTGCACACCATTTGCACTTCCACGTACCGTGCGGTACATAATCTAACGGTGGATCCATGCAGTAAATATGATAACTGATATCACAATCATCACATAATATCAAACGACCCTCGTCATTTCTTTCACCACAACCTTCGCATACTGTACAATCAAGGCACCGCCAACCCTTTTGTAATATTACTTTAGTAACTTTGACATTAGCACAATAAGGGTGATAACATTGACCACATTGTGCACAAGCAATTAAACACCCCTCTTGGTCAGTGCCAATTGCACCACACATCACACAAATATCTTGGGTTAATACAAATTTATCTTTTGCAGAACATAATACAAGTCTATTTTCAATGCCTGGTTCATCTTCTTTTGAAAATGAGTCTGACATTGGCCTCTGAAACACGAAAATTCATTTAATAATCATTTTACTACGTTTCTGCAAGATATAAAAAATAAATATAAAATAAACTATACCTGCAATCCTACACCAGGTACTCCAAAGATACCTCTCATCTTCGCTTTGGGGCCTCTCTTCCTTCCGAATTCTGTCATCTTCTGTCGCTTTTGGTATCCAAGTTTACCAATTCCTTTTGGCCGGCCAATTATTCCACCACCGAGTCCTAACCGCTTCTTTGCAATTTTAGATGCACAGAACGGTTTTCCTTTTCCAAGACCTATAGAATACAGTGCTTCCTCTGATCCTCCTTGATAATCAAATTCTGACGAATCTCCATCACCATACAGACTTTCTTGCGACGCACTTAAACTCAAATCTCCACCATAATCATCAATATTATCTTTTCTTTTTACAAGTGCCATATTCTTGCAGTGTAGACAAACATATTCATAGTCAGGTTTAGCTTCTTTACGGTGTTGGTAAGTTAATGGATCAGCCTCAGGGTCACAGGTACCATGAACAAATTTTTTACATGCACTACATTGAACCATTTCTCTATACGCGGCAGCCCGATATGCTTTTCTACAAAGAGGACACGAAAAACCTTTGTTCCTTTGTTGGTAACACGAATCACATACAGTGTAATGAGAATGCCACCGTGATGAAAGACCAGCGCCTGGTGTACGCGAACCACAGTCTGTACATACACGGCAGCACTTACACTTCCAACCATATTTAGGTATAGATGTAACAATTGGTCGCAAACAACTAGGATGATACGCTTTTTCACAACGTTCACACAACATTACTTTTGAAACATCTTCCGGTTGACGACACACTTGACATACTCTGCAAGATACACATTGCCAGCCAGCTCGTACACCAGGTAGTAGTGCTAAACCAACACAACTACCGTGATAGTGTTGGCCACAGATGGAACACATTACTAGGTTGGAAACATCTCCCATTCCACAGCACTGCATACAAGTAATATCACCGTTCACTAAAATCAAATAGAACATATAAATATGTACACTAAACAACCTATCACATAGCACTTACACAAAAGTGGAACCTGTCCCAAGTGTTGACTGCAAAAGAGGGACAAGCTTTTTGTATCCTGGAAACAACTTGAAGCTGCAGCACATGGTAAATGAAAATAACGATTGCACGATGCCACCTGTTTAAACATACGAAATGTATTGTACCGGAATATATAATAAACTCCGTATATAAAAATATCTTTAAAAACATGGTAGATAAGGAACACTGACTTTGCAAGGAATTCCAGCTCCATAATGAGAACAGAAAGCGCAACGCCTTGATGAAGCCTGTACTATTGCTGGGCTCAACACTTCTGTTGTTAAGTCTTGAGTATTGCTTGACCATACTGCACAAGATTGATGAACATAATAGTGCCCAGTTGATTCAAATAATGTACCTATTTCCGGTTCTTCCGAATATCCCACTATGGTTAATTCCTCCACTGGTTCCGAAAAATTTGTTAGACTAGTATTCCTACGAAAAATTATTTGACTACAGTATGTTGATACGGAATAAGTTTTAATATAAAGAAATTTGTTGCAACTGAAATACCTGCACTTAGCTAGACTCTTTTGTCTACGACAAGTCACAGCACCAGGACCTGCTGCACGTGGACTTTTGTCTCCAGTAGATATATCAACAAGATGGTCGGTTGTTTCGTCACGATTGGTTGACTTCTCAGGGGTGAAACCTTCAGGACAGGTAAATCTTAACAATTCACCCTGACCTAATTGACTTCTTTCACCCAAATTACATAAAGCACATACTTTCCCTGGCCTAAACAAATAATATTTCTTTAATAATTGTTAATTATAGCAATGATTAAAAACAAACACTAAACTACTGAACATTTATACCATTGTTCTGGAAAATATGGTGGTTCTTCTGGTGCTGGCATGCATCTCTCAGTGTTAGATGTCTCTCCATCAGGAGTAGCATCTTCACCGAGACGAAGAGGACTTGGGGATTCTGAATGTGTATCATCATCTTTGCTCTTGGTACGTCTTGGTACACCTCTTGCATATCCAAGACTAAATAAAAAAATATTTACATATTAAATGTAAAACAATTTAAAATATTTAAATTTGATAAGATGAGAAAGTATATTTATGCATTTTTTTGTTTTATTTTAATGAAATACTAACCCTTTCCCCCTAGTAGTTCCTCTTCCAAAAGGTCTACGGGTACCTCCACCACGTGTAATTCCAAGTGGACGTTCTTTTCTAGGTCTACCTGGACCCCGCCTAATATTTAAAGGTTTGCCTCCAGGGAGTGGAAATTTCTGGTACCGTAGAGGATCATGAAAAGCTTCATCTGGGGTTACTGCAAGAGAAACAAACTTTTGTGCTTCCTCTGAAATGATATACAATTTTTATAATGACATTGTGTACTAAAAATGTTAAAAAATTGTTGTAATATAATATGCATTATTCATATTACATATTTATTAAAATGTAATTTAAAAAATCTATACTTACTGTTTCCAGGAGTTGGTGGTGCAGCTCCAAGCAATTGATCTGAATTTGCTGGAGAAACAGGAATTCCTGTTGTTTCCTCATCTTCATCTTCACCATCAGAGGCTTCATCTAGTTCCATTTCTTCCTCACCCTCAAGACGTTCTTCATCATCCATGGCACCTCTACTAGACCTGTGTTGCTATGCAGTCCTAGGTAAGTAAAAGAGATATCCATTAAAAATGTGTATTGAAGAAGCATTGACTCACATTCATACCTTAATGGTACTAAGAAAAGATTAAAATTTTAAAAAACAGTTTCATAAAAAAAACTCATTATAATATAGCCTTCTTAAATTTACAGCTTGTGTCACCTTGTTGAATGTTAGAAAGAATATAGATGTATGCCAAATAAAAAAGTGGACAAAATAAGATTTAATATATATTTACATATGTTATTTCTTAAATGGGTCTGAGATAATGTATAACTTTCTTCAATAATTTATAATCAAATTATTACAGCTCACTTTCTTCTATTCTAAATTTTTCTATTATACCATGGATCATACTATGTGCATAAAGTTCACTTTCAGTAATTATATTAAAGTCTAATATGGTTTGAATTCATTATTTTGAAACCATTATAAAATTTCATAAAATAATTCTAAAGAAACATTGTTTTAATACATGTTTCCCTTACCTAATAATAACTCATAGGTGAAAATATAATATATGTGTAAATTGCATATACATTATGAATGTAACATATACATAAAAATTAATAGTAATTAGTGAAAATGACTTAAAACACTAATAAATAAATATCACATTGAGATATAGAATATAGATCATCCTTGACCTTGACTGTATCCTCAACTTTATACTTCATGCATTCATGCTTTTTGAAATAAAATCTCATATGTCTTCACACACCAGTTTTTAGAAATATAAAAAATCGCGAAATAAATGAAAAATAGCTAATCCTGCTATCAAATATATTTTCCTTTCCTTTTGAAATTAAATATATTTCCTGAACAAAACAAACAAACCTCTAGAGTAATGCAAAGTAGCACTAAACATAAATTCTTTTTATCCACAAACCTCAGTTCCACAATCGACCATATTTCTAAACATTGTTATAAACATTATTCTCTAAGGTGTGCAATTTTCAGGGAAAGAATATCATTTTTTATAATAATATATCCTGGTCACGATCACTTAACATTCATAAAATTGGAATAATTATTTAACGCGCCGTTTGTTTCTTATTTGTCGGAAGTTTAAAAAATCACTTATAAGTGAAAACTTTGAATTCCATTCGATTTGTTACCGATAATCCGTGTACAAGTGGTGTGCAAAACACATCAATCATTTTCTTACGTGTCAGTGCTTATTCCCATAGCCGTATCGTAAATTCCCATGATAATATTATTTTTCATAGAAAAAAATCAGTTTCGCTTAAAGGCGCGTTTCACCGTTAATAAAAACACTAACTCGTGTCCGATTCGAACTCACATAGCTTTTAATCTCTTTACAGTATAGACCTCAGTCAGCTACAGCAGGATGGCGTGCCGCTCGGCAATCGGCGGTCATTCCACAGTGGGGAAAACCGAGGCACTATAATCACCGAAAAACGCCACTTTTCATCACCGAAAATCACAAATTGTTCTTGTCACCATGAGCTGTATCACCACATACGAGGCACCGTTTTTCCGCTGTATTCCCGCGTTCACAATTAACTTAGGCTAAATAAGGCAGGGGACAATTTTGTTGGCACGGCCTTTACGGCGACAGTACGCCATTGCTATGTCAGAGTTTGCAGGCTATAAACATACCCGGGCCGCCCGTAACCACGCCGGATCACGTACCTTCCAGTTACTGTTGTCTCCTTAGCAGTTTCATGGCGGCTTTGCACGCGGAATTATCGGGATCCTCGTCGAAATTCGCACGGCTCATCCAAGTAAACATCTTGTAGTAACAGAAAAAAATGTCACAAGCTGCTTGAACGGAAGAGTACGCAACTGACGAAGCGCTAAAGTCACGGAGTCCGGATGTCGGAACAAAGCCAGAGTGCGCACTCGCTTAAACGTATCTAGGTGCTGCCACCATCACGTGGTGCATGAAAATGCACAGGAGTCATCGATGCAGGGGATCAGGAGATGGATTCACCAATGGGAGTTTCAATTAATGCAACACGTGCCATAAGGTAATTGCATAATATAGTTTTAATTTCATACGAAGGTTTTTAGGAAAAGGGAAGACAATTCTACGGGGTAACAATGACGTCTTGTAGTTTCATCTAGGTATAATCGATGACTTGATGGGAAGAAACATACTATGAGAAAGTTAAATAAAGAGAAAAAGTGATTTGCCGATATTTCAGGTGATTACATAATCTTCTATTGAAATAAAGATAAATCTTATTAATTATTCATGATAATAGAACAAATGAAAAACTGCAAATCGTCATAGAATGTTTTCTTATGTATTATCACTAGAACGTATAAAGTTGGTACTCCTTGCTGAAATGTCACTATAAAATTCGAAACACCTAAGAGTGCGTATACGTGTAGTATTCTTAGATGCAATAAATTTGTCGCAGTGACGAAACTTCTGACATTCCATGCTCTTCTAAGAAATTCAATATGTTTTTGACAACTGTAAAACGAAAATAATTGCCATAATAATCACATAAATATCATTTTTTCGTATACAATCTTGAACATTCATCGGGAAGATACCTCGTTTATCTTCGGTATTCATAAACATGTTCACAATTGAAAAACGTTTCACTTGGCTGAACGATTTTAAAAAATTATTTAACAGCTCTCTGTCGTTGGATGTGCAAAAATGCTGCTCCAAACAGCGCAAAATGGTACTAAACATATTTCCATCCAACTCGTTACCTAAAACTGCAATAATTCGTGTGAAAAAAAATTTTTTAAATTGTTACACTTTATTCAAATACAAACCTGAACTTAATTTATCGATATTTAATGATCGCAATAATTGCGCGTGCACTATTAAATCAGTATCATTCTGCAATGACCGCCACGTTCGCATGAACTCGTATCCATTTTCGATATTATTAAAATTCTGAAAACACATTATATTAAATAAAAGTTTTTTTTTTTTAATTATCAATTACATACCTTAGGAAAATATTTTTCCTCTTTACTAGTTTTATTTTCATATTTATCAGCCACTTCTATTTTCCTCGGCGACGACAAAGTGTAATTCGACGATTTCACTTGTTTATCATCGGACACTTTACTTTTACTGTTGCTTTTTGTATTAGAATTATTTTTATTTGCAACAGTTTCGTTTGATATCGCTTTTACATTAGCAGAACTATTGTTCTTAGATTCACTGGGCAGTTCTTCGATAATAACCGAGTTAGTTTGTCTAGGTGGCATCGTGTAAGAGAAGATTGACTTTTGTTTTACAGTTGAATTATTTTGTTCTTGAACCAATTTAGTTAAATTAGACGAACGATTGTTAGGAGAGAAAGTTGGATTTTTGAACGTTTCCGATGTATTTTTACCGCGATCGGTCTCAGATTTCTTCGAAACGTCGGTTTTAATCGTTGCCGCCAGTTTATTTTCATTATCAAGGCAATAGTCAGCTTTTAGATGGGGCCTAGGTCTCAAATTTTGCGACGGCCCTGGTGCTCTATCGCAGTAACATATACTATTTGCTCTATTTAATTTTGAATCAATTTGTGAGCTGTAAATTCTCTTCTCTTCAATTTTATTTAATTTTGGTTCTTCGTTCATATCTTCTGTCTGCTCTTCAATAGTCATTCTACAAATACCAGAATCAGAAAATTTTAATTCCCTGCATAAAATATTCCTTTTTTTTTTTATTGTACCTTATTTTTCTAGATTCGCAAGGTTTTCTCAACTTTTTCACACCAGCAATTGCTACGGCATTGGTAGGTTCCAATTTCAAAACTGCTTCATAATTTTCCAATGCCTAATGATTGTACACATCTTTGTTTTAGGAGAAATATTTGAATAAAAAAGGAGCAGGCATATTTTAATTTTGATACCTGAGAAGGTTTTTCAAGATGCTCGAAGGTGATAGCTCGACGAAGAAGAGCTTTGATATTTGTATATTCTACGCTAAGTACCTTATTACAATCGTGGAGGGCATTGACGTAACGTCGAAGTTTAATGTCTAAAAATGTTTCATTTAATTGTACCGAATTATTTGGAAAAATGTGTAAAATAAATTTTTCTTACACGTCATCGCGCGGTTGTTGTATGCAACCAAGCTTGAATTCATTTTTATACTGGTATTGTAATGCTCCAGAGCTTCCTCGTAATCTCCAGCCCTAAAAGCCTCATTTCCTTTTTCCCTTTCCTGTTCTGCCATCACATCTAATTCGGTTCCGGTTAGTGACGCTAATAATGCCATATTTTGTTTTTTTTATAAGCTATTCGATTGATAACATTCTATTGAAAAAGCTATTGAAAATAATTAGAGGATCGTTCCCTTCATCTTTGTTATTTTATTCTATGGAATTTTTAAAAAATCTTAATCCTCTATTTATTTTAATTAATTATATATTACTCCTTGGAACATACATTTGTCGATAATCGTATGCTTTTCGAGTTTCTTTTTCTCAACCGTTTCTTTTTGCTTTTGTTGAAACCTCTTCGCTTTAACCTGCACCTGTTCGTCTCTTATATCAATTTTGTTTAATTCAGTATCGACGTCGTATTTGTCCCAAGCGGCGTAATCGCACGAAACGATTCGTTTGCTTTGCGAAGTATTTTTCGAATTCGTAACATCGTTCTTCTAGCGAAATTAAAAAAATGCAAAATTTAAAAAAAAATTATGAAATTAGAAAAAAAACAACAATCGTATAGATATACTTTTATAGATTCTTCGTTAAATTGCCGGATATCCGGTTGGGGAAGAGTATCTGTCAGAATATTTTTTCCTTCCTCCAAATCTTTTTCACGAATCTGCATTTCAGTCGTCCAATCGTTAATATCCTTATCAAGTTCCTTGCGTTCGTTCGGTAACAACATATTTCGCATTAGAATTGGTTCTGATGTTTTTAAAAGTGCACTAGTTGGTTTGATAACGGCCAAGCGTTCTTCCGCGTGTCTCGTTAAATCCGGATAACATCCTTCTTCCCCGGAACTATTATCAAAAGATAGTGTATAATCAATTGTAACTGCGTGCAAATAAGAATAGTTGCATATCTTCGATAAGCGTGAACGTGCAATAAGTATTAATAACGAATAGGAATTTTATCGGGGTTATGATTTCAAAAATCCCGCTAACAGATAAGTTTTACTTACCGCAGTATAGTTACTATGCGTTCCATCTTTTTTCCGTTCGTGCATTCGGAAATGTATTCATACGAGAGATGCTCGACCGGTACATCATACCTTTCGAGCAGCGACTTTTTTTTAGATTTCGCGTTGCGAACAATGTCCGTATCGTTCTCGACCATGGTACCAGACAAAATGCTAAACGTTGTAAAAAAATATCCTTCTGTTAGAGCTTAATTAGTCCCGTTGCCATGGGTACACGCATACTAAATTGTCAATTCCGTACAGTTTATCTACGAGGTACCTGTGTCAGGCGCAATCGATAACGCAGGGAGCCTTCCTTATGATGCGTTTCCAACAAAAGATCAACGACAGACGTACAGCAGCGTATGCATACGCTCGTTCGGTCATTCGTAATACACCATTCGGTATTATACCTTATCTTCCGTTAGTTCAAGACCTGAGTGTAAATGGTTTAATAGACAGGTAATAAACTACTCGGTATCGTTTAGTCTTGAAGCATTTATTCATATGAGGTACATCTTTGTTCGATATAACTACTCAGCTTAAGGAAACACGATGAGGATTAATTACATAGACTATAGGTATATATTTTACATTTTTTATTAGAATTACTGCAAAAATTAATATAAATTCTAACAATTAACATATATTACGACATTTTATTAAACGTTAATAATAGCTAATAATAACACCGATGGTGAAACGCAATGTAAAATTATAAAATATCTTTTTCAAATTGAGAATGACAACGCGATAATTGAGAGCAGATATCGGAGACGCAGGAAAAGTTCTTGTGGCCACAAAAGTAAGTGTCCGCGTAGTTACCTGTATTAGCGGACACGCGCTTGCATACTAGCGCTGGCGCATCGGTCTCCGCTTACCTGTTAACACGGCAGTCACCTTGTAGCGTGGAGCGGTACGCCATGCCGCGGTCGAGGCGTGCAGTGGGCACGCTGGAGAGTGCATATTAGACAGTGCGAAGCGCTCAGGCTCGAGCATTCGCCGGCGAGCGCTCGGTGAGTTCGGTGTAGAGGTGTTTTCGTGTATCGCGTGTTCGTTCGTTCTCGTTCGCGTACTCTCAGTGAATTTCGTCTCGTCTTGTCGCGTATCGTTACGGTAAATAATAGGAAAATTGAAAGGAGCTACGGTGGACTACGTAACGGTTGGCCAAACCGCGAAATTCTTCGTCGTGTGAATTTATTGTCACAAGTGGCATACCAGGTATTTATTCATCCGAATTTTTCTGCGTTTCGTAAATTTTTTTACGACACATCGTATCAAGTGCCATTAATCGTAAGGGGGGGCAATCGACTTTCTTGTTCAAACACGAGTAGCATCTGTTCGTTGTTTAATATTTGCACATCATGGTCGGCCTTCTAGAGGTCGCTTGGATGGGTGATTCAATGGTTTTACGATATATACTTGAATTGTTTGTCGAAATGTTTTCGAGATAGCGTTCGTTTACATGTACGCTAGGGTTAACCTCTTCTCGCTTGGTACGCTTGGACCGTGCAAAATTGTGTGCATCTGTCATCGGACGGGCACCATATACCAGCTATCCGTGATAAAATATTTAACGTGTAAACGAGCTTGACCGGTGCACGGGTTATTTGTAAAGGAAACGTTGAATAGACAGTACGTGCGAGATTCACCGGTCGGTTTATAAACAAACCGAAATGTGGTAGGTTCGCGCGCGAAGTATTCACGTACATTCGATCTCGGAAAGATAACCTATAGTGTAAAGAATAAAACGTTATTTCATATTTCCGGCGAACAATAAACGTCGATGTACGGTAAAGCGTGTTATCTAATCTCCGTGACTTAAAACCGGGACAAGAAGC